CTGTCACCTCGCCCTAAGGACAGAGTTCTTTGCAGTTTACCCGGACGCGGCTCCTCAGCTGGTGGAGGGGCTTCTTCGGAATCCGGCGAAGCTGGAGGTGTGGAGCCTATCTTCAGTCAGAGAATTGATATCTGGTAAGGAATGGCACATCAGCTCACCGGGTTGATACTCTCGGATTGCGCACCAATTTCGGCGTGGAAGCAAGCGCTTGTTGTTACGCGGCTTGCTGTTGACGTCGTGCGTGAAGATGGGAATCATGTCTTCATCTGTGTTCGTGTCCAAGTGGTGAACGTGGTTGCGCTTGTTCAGCACGTCCGATACCATTTCGGTTTCCGGCATGTCTGCAATTGCAGAAGATATGACATTCGGCATGTATCGGTAATCCTTGTCTTTGGGCAGGTTTAGTCTGGGATTGGAGTAGAATTGTCCGATGGCTGCCAGATGGACATCGCCGCTGGAGCGTCATGTTAGCTTCCTGCAAACATTCACTGCCCAGGAGCAGATCCTCACCTCAAGATAGTCACCCGGACGGACTTTTCTGCTGCAAGGTCTTGGAGGTCCTCAAGCAGATAGGTGCGTTCGGCTTTGTGATGTTTAGCCGTCCAGTGATCATCGAATATCTCTACCTTGCTGCCGTTCTTGTTCACGAAGCCTCCGAAAAACCCGGCCTTGCCCAGCGATTTGCGACTATTGAGAATGTTTTTGAGCATTGCCTGTGTTAAAATGTCAGAAACACAACCCATGTCATGGTGGGTTTGCGGGAGTACAAACCATTCTTGGGTATGCGACGGGAACGCTCGAGAGCACTATCAGATGCTTGGTTTCTCCGCGGACAATCTCGCGGTGGCATCGGTCCCAGATCAAATCACATGTCTGCTCGCTGAGTATCTCGTCGCTCTGAAGATTGGTCAGCGTCTGCCTTTCTCCCGACCACCAAGAAAGCATATTCTTCTTACCAGTCGCTCTGTCCTGCAATCCAACCCCAGAAAAGCTATTTCCTTGCCCATTGACATGAACACGTTTCGACTTCGCTGGTTGATGTATGGTCCCAGCTGCGCGCCAAGCAGCCAGCTAGGCTCATCTGCCTCTGTCTCTTCAATGACACTGTGATGCTGGAAGAGTAGATAATACTTGAACGCTATTCTACCCAGTCCGGAAATCACCGGTGTAGCCATGAACTCGTCCGGATACGACCCGAAACCTTCAATGATGTCGTGATCGTTCCAGATGTTAACCATTGGGATTTCGGAATTGGCCAGAGAGAAAAGGCCCTGTGAGAACCAAGCCGAATAGTTCTCGAGGTAGAAGCTCTCTATCTCCGCTCGAAATTCCGGGTCAAATGGCGTGTCGTACTTGTCAGTCAGGTTCTTTATCTTGACCCATTCTTGGAATCGGGGCGATTCCACCATAACTTTGTCATTAAAGATCTGATCACCGCCCCCAATCATGACGTGGAAAGGGCGAGTCTGATGCTCATTCAATACGTCGCGCCATAGAGGGTCAGGACCGCAGAATTTGTTGGAATCGACTCCTAGGCTGAAGCCATTGCAGCTATGGAACATAATGTTCATAGACTGCCCTCTGGCCGGTACCCAGAATCCCAGGGCCGGTCCGTGGTTCAAGCGGTACGCGATTCGTTGTTGCATCTCGCCTAGTTCAATTTCAATGCTGAACCTCCAGAATGTGACATCTCGAGCTGAGTCGGCGTACAAGCGCGCTCCGGGAACTTCTTTGTATGCTCCCACAGTTTCTCCGTCCACCGAGTGAAGCCTGTTGGCGGGGATCGACTGATTGACATCACTACTATAGTCCGGGTTACTGGGGGACATCTCGTAGACTCCATCGTCATTTTCCACGAATGACAAGTCCACTCCTTCCTCGGTATGGTCAATTGGCTTGACATAAAGCGGCCTGCCGTCCCTACCCAGCTTCATGAGACCTGCCGTGGGATCGACGTACTCTGGTGCAAGCTGAGCGCCACTGACCTCGACAGGCGGAGGCGGCAGGAGATCCATCGGCTGCGAAAATAACCTCAGGGTGGGCGGTGACTCATAGGAAGACCGTGAATCTTTGGTAACAATCATAATACTACCTCTCCAAGTCTCCTTGTCGAAAGGGCCGTTTGGTCCGTCAATACTGACTCGTTTCAGTCCTGTGTAGCGGAGCAGAGGGCCACATTTCAGGAAGATCGGTGGCTGAAAGCTCTTATTCTCTGCGTGGATTCCATGGTTAGTGGACTGAGAAAGGGAAACAAGAGAACATGGGGCCGGATAAACGAAGGAGTCCCCCAGTGCTGGGTAAAACCACTTACCCGTCAACTTTTGAACAGGCTTCTGATAAGCGCTGGGGAGAGCTCTGCTCTTCCTGCGATTACTGCCACCACCTTCCCACCAGGCTTTGCTTCGATCAACGTCGAGATGTTGAAAGTCGAAGTCGGAAGCACCGAGTCGAGCAACCGGTGCGTTCTTCCACTCTGAAAGTGGAGGAGGCGTTGGCGGAGGCACATTGAACGAAACAGTGTTTCTCTTGGGCTTTATGTGTGAGCCTAATTCGTCCTGGGAAAGATCGTTCAGTACAGCATTATGTGTATTTGTGATTAGGTGTTCTGGTTGCTGGGAAGCTATGCCTTGTGCATAAGGGTCATTTCCTCCAGGACCCGTCTGGGGCGCTCGACTCTGTTGGACCCGAGCGTCAGCATATGGTTGTGAGTGATGCATCTGGGCCATTCTTGGCATTGCATGATCTTTCTGTGCTGGCCCAAGTACCGCAGGAAAATCTCTCCCATCTCGAGACATGTTAGGATCTCTCGTGGCGTTCATGGCATGACCTCCGGGTCTGTTTGTCACCGACACAGATCGCCTGGGAACGCTACCGTGATTCAAAATTGGCCCCGCCAAGGGCTTTGAATTGCTAATCTTCGAGGCTTGCATCTCAGGGGCCACCAACTGGGCCGGTGGTCCTGGCTTTTGGGCGCTAGACTTTGCCTGTCCTGGAGTTCCTTGCTCATGGGGAATCGTCGCTTCGTGCCCCTGGTGAACAGCGTTCTGGCCAATGCTTTGTTTGGTGTTTCGGGTCCGATTCTCCTGCTCTCCTTGGCTGACATCCCGCTGTGCTACCAATTGCTGAGGCATCCTACTTCCAACTGGGCCTGCGGTTGAGTTGCTGTCTGTAGGCTGTGCGAGAGAGGCATTTCGATTTTCTGCCTCCGCCTGTTGACGTGCCAATCGTTCTTTGAGCTTCATCTCGGCCTCCAAGACGCGCGCCCTTTTTTCCTCTTTGCTAATCACATTCAATGTAACTTCGAGCTTCTGAAGAGGGGATCTATCTGGGGCCCACTCATGCTGCTTATTCGTTGAAGACCGTAACGTGCTAGATCGACTCAGCGGCGATGTTTGGTTGACAGAGTCTACCGGCGATGTCGCTTTGCCGTCCTCCATTTGCCTCACTGACCCCGAGGCAGCAGCTTCTGGGTTGGTTGGACGTCTCGCAGGTGCTCCATTTCCTTTGATGGGACGAGAGGTGGATGTGAGATAATCTTGCGGTGGGATTATATTACCCCCTGGGCGGTTATGAGCTCTTGCAGAAAATGAACTGGAAACCTGTCTTCTCTGTGTTGCAGCAGAATTGCTGGGGTAGGGATGCGACTGGCCATGGGGGGCCTCTGGATTTCTTAACATGTGCTTGTCATCGTGCAAATAGTCCATATGGGCAGTTCTGACATTATCATCTTGATGCTGGGCTTCGTTGGGAGACATCTGTTGAGGTGACATGGAGTCTCTATCGATAGGTCTTCGATAAGCTGCTGTAGCCATTCTGCGACTCGGTTGTAGCCAGGAGCAACTCTTAAAGATCCGTACTCGAGAGCATGATAATCAAGTACCTAGGCCCGAGTGACGATGGTCAGCTTTGGTCCGAAGAGTTGTATTAGGGGGGTTTAAATCGAGTGCCAGGGTTACAAGAACTAAAGACATACCTTGAAAGTCAATTGCCTGCGACTGAGGTCTCACTTTAGGATTGTAATCAGGACCGAGAAAATGAATGTGTTGGCGAAGGTACTGTAGAAGATGAGGAGTCTATCCTGGACCTGTACGCCTATTCGAAATTACGTCTGAGCCCCGAGGCTGTGGAATGGCGGGACAAGTTCGGCGCTGGTTGTGATGAAGAAGTATACAGATGTGGAGTATACAAAGAAAACAATGGAGAATCTCAATGCAGAGAATGAGCTATGAAGCTTTACAGAAGGAAAAAGGAAAAAGGATTAAGGGAATAGAAGGTGACGGAATGATCAGAGTAAAATGTGATATGGAGTAATGCACCATAATGATACTATGCCTTTTGCAAGATTGATCGTGCAGGGCCAGTCCGGTATGGATTTAGATTTAAACCTGGTGGCTGGCAACTTGATTTAATCGCCCAGCCCTCTTTCCTACTCCTTCGCCGCGGGGCTGTTGTTGGACTGCGACCTGGACTTGGACCTGCAGCAGAATCAACCTTGCCAGGCACCACCGATCTCCTATTAAGGGATCCTTGACCCTTTCACTGTATCTCCAATACTGTTGGTGGTTCGTGTCCGCAGCACTGCCTTATTTATGAAGCGCTCAAGATATAGATAATGGGATTGGATAATCCGTATGCAGCTGCCCAATTCTGTCCTAAGAACAACGATCCTGAGGCAGTCAGAGTATTATACGTCTAATTGAAGCTGAATGTGCCACGAAAAAGGATAGTCAGTGGTCTGCTGTAGGAACTGAGGTCGCTCCGTCTTGGTTAGATAGGGGGTAAGAATTGAGTGTTCCAGTGCCACAAATTTATAGAAGCATCCAAGCGCGAAGGTCGCATCGCCATATCCAGGAATTGGATGCAGCAGAGCGACAGTGGTGTTAAGGCTGTTGGCCACTTAGTCTTTGACAAGGGTCTAAGCAATCGGAACGTGGTCTTTCGGACTCGTTAAGATTTCGAATGAGCTGCCTATGGAGGTTTATGGTAGATAGATGGATGATGGCCCACCTTCGATACATAGGTATTATTCTGCAGAATTAGTAGTATGCGGGTAGCTTTCTTTCATCTAGAATCAATAAAAATCAATACAGTCTGTATTCTGGCCTCCTAGAGGTCATTTTGCCGCGGTCGCATAACCGTCTCTTTGTCTACTCTTTCTTGGTGAAAGCCCCTTGCTTATGTATGGCCCCCGAATAGAGAGGTAGATCAGCTTGAATAGGCGACATTTGTAGTCAGAATAGTTGTTAAATAGACTCAAACTCCGCAACCATCTTTTCTCAGTCATCGACATTGACAACGCTGGGATTTTCATGAAGCAAGAACCGACGTTCAAATTCTCCTTCTTCTTCTTCTTCTTCTTCTTCTTCTTCTTATTATCATTACTTGTTAATAAATACCCTGGACTCGGAAAGTCCTCTCTGCGATACCTGATCTTCTTCTGAGTGGATCTTGTTGGCTTCCCGTTCATGGCAGCCATTTCGTTGTCCTTTATTCCGCCTCACTGAGAGGACATTTTCCTTTTGTTCAACAAGACGTCCTACCCATCCAAGATGCGATTTCTTGGGAGTACAGCTCTAGTCTTGAGCTTCATCTCTGCAACCACTGCAAATGTCCAGCCTCGATCCTACGATACCCACGAATTCTTCGCCCTCCACCTCGACGACTCCGCTTCGCCATCCCATGTCGCTCAGCTCCTGGGAGCTCGCCATGAAGGTCAAATCGGAGAACTCGCAAACCACCACACATTCTCGATACCCCGGGAGAGCAGCTCAGACTTAGATGCGTTGCTGGAACGTGCACGTGCTTCGAGGAAGATTCGGCGGCGTTCGAGAGACGATGCCACGTCGCAGGAGCGGGACAACGATGCACTGGGTGGGATTCTCTGGTCACAGAAGCTGGCACCCAAGAAGCGTTTAGTGAAGCGAGCACCACCGCCGGAGAAGCTTGCGAGAGCTTTCGCGACCGGCAAGGTGGACCCAGTAGCTGCCCAAGCTCAGAAGCGAATCGCCTCCACGCTCGGGATTGCGGATCCCATCTTTAATGGACAGTGGCACTTGTTTAATACTGTACAGCTCGGTCATGATCTTAATGTCACTGGTGTATGGATGGAAGGCATAACTGGAAAAGGTGTCACTACGGCGGTGGTCGATGACGGATTGGATATGTACAGCAATGACCTTAAGCCGAACTACTTCCCCGAAGGCTCTTACGATTTCAACGACCAGACCCCAGAACCTAGGCCACGACTTATCGATGACAAGCATGGTACAAGATGCGCCGGTGAGATTGCAGCGGCGCGAAACGACGTTTGTGGAGTCGGCGTTGCGTACGACAGCCGGATTGCTGGGGTCCGGATTCTCTCTAAGGCTATCGACGACGCTGACGAGGCGAAGGCCATCAACTTCGCTTATCAGGAAAACGATATTTTCTCGTGTTCTTGGGGTCCTCCCGATGATGGCGCGACCATGGAAGGTCCTGGCATTCTGATCAAGCGGGCCTTTGTCAATGGCGTCCAGAACGGGCGCGGCGGGAAGGGCTCGATATTCGTGTTTGCGGCTGGGAACGGTGCAAGCTTCGACGATAATTGCAACTTCGACGGCTATACGAATAGCATTTACAGTATCACTGTGGGCGCTATTGACAGGGAAGGGAAACACCCTAGCTATTCCGAGTCTTGCTCCGCACAGTTAGTGGTAGCTTACAGCAGTGGCTCCAGCGACGCAATCCACACCACCGACGTTGGAACTGACAAATGTTACTCTCTGCACGGTGGAACATCGGCGGCAGGACCTTTGGCCGCGGGGGCCGTAGCACTGGCTCTCAGCGCTCGTCCGGAACTAACGTGGCGCGATACGCAATATCTCATGGTGGAAACGGCCGTCCCGGTTCATGAAGACGACGGTAGCTGGCAGGTCACCAAGGCTGGAAGGAAGTTCAGTCATGACTGGGGCTATGGCAAAGTTGATGCGTACACCCTGGTTCAGAAGGCCAAGACCTGGGAGCTGGTGAAGCCACAAGCCTGGTTCCACTCCCCTTGGCTCCGTGTGCAGCACAAAGTCCCTCAAGGCGACCAGGGTCTAGCCAGTTTGTACGATGTGACTGAGCAGATGATGAAGAACGCGAACATTGCGAGGTTGGAGCATGTTACTGTGACCATGAATGTCAATCATACACGCCGTGGTGACCTTAGCGTCGAGCTACGCAGTCCAGAAGGCATTGTCAGCCATCTGAGCACCCCAAGACGGTCGGATAATGAAAAAGCGGGCTATGTCGACTGGACTTTCATGACTGTTGCTCATTGGTAAGGAGTCTTTCCCCCTGCAGTTGGCGATTTGAGATTTCTAACCCCCTTTTTTTTCCTGCAGGGGTGAGTCGGGTGTGGGAAGATGGACTGTAATTGTCAAAGATACCAACGTGAATGAGTACACCGGAGAGTTCATTGATTGGCGACTGAATTTCTGGGGAGAGGCTATCGATGGCGCCAATCAAAAGCCTCATCCCTTGCCCGATGAGCATGACGACGATCACAGCATCGAGGATGCTATTGTGGCTACCACCAGTGTGGAGACAGGACCTACCAAAACCGGTGCCCCGGACTCCACGGACGACACCATCAATCGTCCTGTGAACGCAAAGCCCATCGAAACTCAGACACCACCGCCCGCCCAGACGACCGCAACCGAACTAGCTCCTCCGGCCGAGACCAGGCCGGCCGCCACGGCGACATCTTCTCCCACACCTACTGCTGCGTCGGACAGCTTCTTGCCCAGCTTCATGCCCACATTCGGCGCTTCCAAGAGGACGCAAGTCTGGATCTATGCCGCCATCGGGTCCATTATTGTGTTCTGTATTGGTCTCGGGATCTACTTCCAGGTCCAGCGACGCAAGCGCATTCTCAATAACCCGCGCGACGACTATGATTTTGAAATGATCGAGGACGAGGATGCGCTCCAAGCCGCCAACGGGCGTCCCGGTCGCACTCAGCGCCGAGGTGGCGAGCTGTACAATGCCTTTGCAGGGGAAAGCGACGAGGAGCCTTTGTTCAGCGACGAGGATGATGAGCCTTACAGAGATCGGGCTCTGAGTGAGGATCGTCTCCGCGACACCTCGAGCGATGGCCATAGTCTGAGACACGGCGACCACTGATGCATTTATCCTTTTGTTTACTGTGGAAAAATCCCCTTTTGATTTTTCTGTTTCCGTACTTAGTAGGCGTTTCCATTTATCTCCAGTGCGATTCAGCCTGGTGCTGAATGAAAGATCTGTATATAATCATCTTCTGAAGAACAACAACTCAATCATGAACATAATTGGAGATAATACGTGGCTAACAGTAAAATAAGACAACCGACGACGGTTTTGGGAGATGGAGCGGTGATCATGGATAAAATCGAAGGCTGGATGCTCCTCTAGGTAGTCTTGGCCGATGACGCTGTGGTTCTCCAGCTCCCCGGCTGCTCCACTAAGCAGATTGATGGCTCCTCCGCAACTCTCCATCATCAGCTACCACCAACCAGCACCCGATAGGATATATTCACATATTTCTCGTTTACCATCAGGCTCTCGATACCTATAGTTCTTGGGTCTTTGTTCATCAGATCCACCAGACAGTGTCAGTGCAACAACGCCGTAAGCCAAGACACCGCCAGACGGGTGCCCCTCGATGGATCAGCACGACGACTTCGATAGCGTCTCGTGGAGACAGGACCCAGAGAGCGACGTTTCTCGGCCCACCACATCAGGGACAGATGCGGATGAATCGCAAGGATACAATCGTGATACCAATGGCAAGCGGAGGATGAGTTCAGTTCACGAAGACCCGCCTCAGGCCGGGCCGCTGGCGGACGCCGTGGATCTGGCGGGTATCGGGGATGGGGTACTGGAATGTCGAGTCGACTCCCCGTTGAAGGAGAATGATGGGACTAAGGATGCATACATTTCGTATCTCGTCACTACACATGTGGGTTACTCTCTTTCTCATCAGGGGGACTTGTGCCCGTTTGCCGGCTGCCTGGCAGGATATGCATGCGAATGAGGTATTGACGACATGATAAAATGCAGACCGATTTCAAGTCCTTTCAGAAGCCAGACTTTGCCGTGCGGAGGCGATTTACCGATTTCTTTTTTCTGTACAGGACGCTTTACCGGGAATATCCTGCCTGCGCGGTCCCGCCGCTGCCGGAGAAGCATAAGATGGAGTACGTGACGGGAGATCGGTTCGGGCCGGAGTTCACTACTCGTCGCGCTTGGTCGTTACATCGGTTCTTGAAGCGGCTGACATTGCACCCTGTCCTTCGTCGAGCTCCGTTGCTCGCTATTTTCCTCGAATCGCCAGACTGGAATGCGCACATGCGACTGCACACTACCCGCAGCTCGACGGGCAACTCGGATGGTAGCGGGACGGGGATTTTTGACAACTTCACTGACACGTTTGTCAATGCATTCACAAAGGTTCACAAGGCAGACCGCCGATTCATCGAGGTCAAGGAGAAAGCAGACAAGCTAGATGAGGATCTCAACCATGTTGAGAAGATCGTCGCCCGAGTAGCGCGTCGGGAGAGCGACCTCGAGACAGACTACAACGATCTTGCAACACAATTCCGGAAACTTGTGCCCCTCGAGCCGGATGTCGAGGTCCCGCTACAGATCTTCGCGGCATCGGTGGAGGAGACCGCGCGGGGGTTCAAAACGCTCAAAGACCACACGGATCAGAACTACCTGGGCTCTCTACGGGATATGGAAGCGTACATTGTCTCACTCAAAGCCCTCCTCAAGACCCGTGAGCAGAAACAACTCGACTTTGAAGCGCTGGTCGATTATCGCAACAAAGCGGTGGCTGAGCGGGACTCGCTTGCCGCCAACCCATCTTCCTACTACGCCTCCAACCCTCTAACTTCGTCGCCTGCCTCATTCATCCGCTCCAAGATGGAAGACATGCGCGGGGTCGACCACGAACAGTCGCGTCGGGAGCGCGTCCGGAAGCTCGAGCTGCGCATCGACGAGCTGACTCGGGAGGTGGAATCAGCCAAGACCACATCAGAGATGTTCGATGAGGAGGTTGTCCGCGAAGTAGCCGACTTTGAACGGATAAAGGCGGTTGAGTTTCGAGATACACTGGGGGATCTTGCTGAAAAGAACATCGACTTTTTCCAGGGCGTGATTAATACGTGGGAGAGATTCGTTGCTGAAATGGAAGGGGACCTTGATAACGATCCCGAGACGCCAGAACGTGGTCGCGGGGAGGGAGTGGCAGCGTAGAGCAATGGCGAACTGTGATGGTACCGGACAGGTCTTTCATTACTTTGTTTACTTCGTTTCTCTACAAGGCAGCGATTCTTGTTACTTGGCAATCACCGGAGGGCGTACTTTCTTGTCTGTTCAGTGACAGCTCTTGCGAGTGTATAATTTGGTAGTTATCAGTCATTCCCATCCCGTACCCTCAAATCAATACATACACATACACATCCAGGTCAATTCCTGCACCCCGGGTAGAGAACTCTGAATATCGTGAGGCCAGACACACACCCATCTACCAGTCTCGCTTTGACTGAACCTCGGCGCATTCAAAGTCAATCGGACTCGGATCGCCCTGCGGATCTAAAATAGCTGGATCCAAAGCCCTTGTCGTGCGTCTTCGCGCTCGTTCCTGCAACAATGTCAGTCTTCATTGCTCCTCTTTGATCAACCACAACCACACACCTCCCGGTATACCTGATTCGGCGTCTTCTCTTTCGCTTTCTCGCCCGCCGTCAACTGGAGGTATATCTCATGGTCGTATCCCACGGCATTGGGGTTTCCCGCATGGAACTTGGAATGCGCGCCTGCGAAGTTGGCGCTGAGATGGAGGGCGGATTGTGTTGGGGCAGTGACCGTAGTGCTTGATTTGGAGGTGGCAGTCGATGTTGATGTCGACGTTGATGTAGATGCCATTTGTTGACGGCGGAGGCGTAGTGTGTGGTGGCACTACCCCTCTACTGGTGATCTTGATCTCAAGGCTAACTGAGTAGATTACGAAAAATGCTAGGAGCAAAGAAGCGAATCAACAGGCATAATTGAGGTAGTCAATCGAAGCCTTTTAGTTTAACGGAGATCATCTGCCAGTTACAGTAGTTGTTCACGAGATATTGGCATAATATATCTCTCGCGATGGACCTCATCTCAGCCGCCTCCTACGAAGCACTTTCCAGTTGACAGGGGAAATGGTATTACAGTGCGTTCGCAATGCGGATCATGCATCTCAGTGGCAATGGGACAGCGTTTCAGTGCTTATTGTGGCATCAGACTAGACTCTGCAACGATCATTCAGCTGCAGCAGGGTTCGAATGAAGGACGTTGTACGGGTTAGTCCGAAAGCAGACTCGTCGTGGTGGCGGAGTTGCAGTCTGCCGCAGCACCACGTCCTGCATCGGGTGTGGCAGTGAATTGATGAAGAAATGATAGGACAGTAGAGATCATGTCTGGTTATAATGATGCTTATTCGTTGGGGGCTGGTCCCTCGGGGTCGACTAAGGTGATCTCCGTCGGCGGTTGTATTCTGGAACATCCGGATTGAGCATCCAGCATTGGACAGGATATGACTGCGAGACAATTGTTTCAGTGTTGATGCAGCTGTGTGACAGAGCTATACCTCTCTATCAGCCAGCGTTTTGGCCCTGAAGAAGAATATGCTTGATGGCATGATGCTCATCATGTTATGCTATTAATACCGGAGAGTGTTTGTTGCGTTTGCATCCCCGTCAACTGGCTCAGCGCATCACCGAAACGAGATGATCTGATCGACTTTCAAACTGTACTCCGTACGCTTACGCTCACCATGCGCCCTCTTTCTCGGTCGGCCCTTCGGCCCTATATCTGTCCCTCTTGTCGATCGGGGACAGTCACACGCAGGAGATTCGCAACTCAACCCTCCTCTGTACCCGAGATCTACGATGTAGTTTGCGTCGGTGGTGGTCCTGCGGGCCTGGGGCTGTTGGCCGCTCTCAGTATGGCATCCTTCTTCGCCCTCGATTCGCGCAATTGAGTTCGTATTCGGTGACGTGGCGATACTAACCTCATACAGGAGCTTCTCCAGCCACTTCAAAACTCAGGGTCGCTCTTATTGAGACACAGGATCTAAGCAAAGCCCGCTCGTGGAAGCTGGAACCGCACCAGTTCTCCAACCGAGTCAGCAGTCTGACACCGTCATCTGTGTCGTTCCTCCAGAGAATTGGTGCGTGGGATCATGTCGACACGAGTCGTGCTCAGGAGTATCAGGAGATGCAGGTGTGGGACGGAGAGACTGGATCGCGCATATCATTCGACTGGTCCATGGAAACATCTCCCTTTGAGGATCTCCCCACTGTAGCGACGATGACGGAGAATGCGAATCTCGTCCGCGGACTGCTATCACGCATTGAAACATCAGGCGAAGAGAACCTATCGATCTTCTCAAACACAACAGTTTCGTCGATAGAGAATGGCGTTGACTGCTCCAGTGGGCCTAATCTGTCGGCTTGGCCGGTTCTGTCACTCTCCCCTACTGGACCCGCGGGACAATCCGAGGCGCCTTCGCGCATCGCTGCCAGGCTCTTGGTTGGTGCCGACGGTATTAACAGCCCCGTTCGTCGGTTTGCCGGCATCACGACGGATGGGTGGGACTACGATAGGCATGGCATAGTAGCCACCCTGTCTCTGTCGGATCCAGTTTCGCCTACATTTCCCATCGGCACCAGAACCGCCTACCAGCGTTTCCTGCCATCCCTAGGGGGTCCCATTGCTCTGCTTCCGCTTCCCAACAACACCGCCACTCTAGTGTGGTCCACCACCGTTGAAAATGCAGCCTACCTCAAGTCTCTGTCGCCTAGAGCATTCATCGCCATGGTGAACGCTGCCTTCCGTCTTTCCATGGCCGATCTCAAGTACATGATGAGCATGGAGCGCCCAGCAAACCTGATCGCAGATGCCGAGAACCCCCACGAAGACGAACTCACATGGCGCCTGCAACATACACCTCAGCCATCCCACATTCCGCCTATGGTCAACGGAGTTCAAGAAGGCAGCGTAGCCTCCTTCCCGCTGCGCTTTCGCCATGCGTCGACCTACATCTCGCCCCGAGTAGCTCTGGTCGGCGACGCGGCCCATGTCATCCACCCACTGGCGGGACAGGGTCTCAACCTCGGTCTCGGGGATGTGGCTTCCCTCTCCAAGACGATTGAGTACGCCGTCAACCACGGGATGGACGTCGGTGATATTCTGACTCTGGAACGGTATACAGCAGAGCGATACGCCACTAACGCCAAGATCGGTGCTGCTTGCGATGTCCTGCACAAGCTGTATAATGTTCCCGGCCAGGGGCCGGTTACGTGGGCTCGGAGTTTCGGTCTCGATGTCATTGACCGCTTACCATTTGTCAAGAATTTCTTGATGAAAAACGCGCAGGGCTGAGATTGCCTCGGCCTTATTTTCACCACACCTCTCACTTCTATATCCGTTGTTATTCGTCTGTATGTTAGCTTTTTGACAGAGACAGAATCCTTTAGCTTACGATACTCCACATGTACACTATGAGGGCGGGAACGCGAGTACACGGAATAAGAAAATGAAATGTTAATAAACTTTTGCATGTCATGCTCCAAATTCGACTGCAATCTAAACCGGGTATTTTGGAATCTCGCAGGTACTTCTCGGTCCTGCTGTCTCGTTTTCTACATGTTCCTTTTTATGTGAATAGCCTGCTATATGCGACGTATCCCCCGCTTAAACCCCCGCATCCTCGGTCTTGGGAGCTTCAACCTTGACAGCCTCAAGCTGTTGCGTTACCTCCGAAATATCCGCCTTAGCTGACGTCTGGCTCTGTTTCTTCGCCAGTCTGGCCTTGACTTCGTCGGTGAGGGCGGTCAGGTCGACCAGGACACCTTCCTTCTCGGGGTGGCCTTCCCCGAGACCCATTTCCTTAATACGAACCTTGCCAGCGGCGAGTTCGTCCTCGCCCAGGATGACGGCGAATGGGACGCCTCCTTGTTCGGCGGCCTTGAATTGTTGGGGGAGCTTGGGCTTGACCTTGTAGGAAAATTCAGCCTAGACGGGAACGGTCAGCTGTCTTTCTGCTTGTGTTGTGTAGAGACAATTGTGGAGATGCTTACCTTGATTCCGGCGTTCCAGAGCTTCTGGCATACATCCATACGCTCCTTGAGCATACCGGTGAAGCCCTTTCCACCAAAGGCCATGACAAAGACATCGACTTCGCTGCTGCGCAGCGCCTCGGCGCTGTTTTCCCGCTCGAGTCTGGCCTTGGTGATAGAGAAGATACGGTCGACCCCGAATGAGACACCAACACAAGGAATCTGAGCCTTGGGCAAGAACATGCCAACGAGATTGTCGTAGCGGCCACCCGCGGCAACACTGCCAACACCTAGTGTAGGGTCGTTTGATCTGTCCTCATCTTCGAGGTTCCCGCTCTTCGACTTGTCCTTCTTTCCGGACTTCTGGAGCTTCTGTGCTTCGGGGGCTGAGGACGAGACGGCAGGCGCAGAACCTTCGGTAACAACCTCGTAAATGACACCTGTGTAGTAGTCGAGTCCTCGCGCCAGCGACATGTCAAAGGAGATTTTGTCGAGACATCCGAAGGCTTCAAGGTAGTCCATGAGCAATCCCATCTCCTCCAGACCAGCCTTGGCCGACGGGTTCGCGGTCAAAGACTCGTCCTTCCATAGGGACTCGAGTAGATCCCGAGAGCCCTTCCCAGCCACGTACTTCTCGATCTTGTCGGCTACCTCACCATCCAGTCCCTTCTCCTCGACCATTTCCTTCCGCACATCCGCCCAGGACATTTTATCCAACTTGTCGACGGCGCTGGAGATAGGACGGATCTTCTCCGGCGGCACACCGCAGACCTCGAAGAGACCGTCCAAGATTTTCCGGTGGTTGACCTTGATAGTATAACGACCCTGCCATCCAAGTTCCTCAAACACTTCTGTCACGATCCGCAGAATCTCAGCATCGGGAACCATAGGATCAAAAGCACCGGCGATATCAAAGTCACATTGGTAGAACTCGCGCATGCGACCCTTGCTCACAGCGGGCTGATCACGGCGATACACCTTGGCAATGTGGTAGCGCTTGATGCTGCGCACGTCGGGGTTCATGGCGAGCCAGCGGGCAAAGGGGACGGTCAGATCGTAGCGAAGGGAGCAGATCTCGCCACCCTGATCCTGAAGGTCGTAGATAAGCTTCGAATCCTCGCCATATTTTCCGGCCAGGATCTCACGCAGCTCGAAGACGGGTGTGTCGAGCGCCGTGCCGCCGTGACGCTTGAAGACATCGGCAATGGTCGAGAAGATCCGGTCGCGGAGGAGTGCATCGGACCCGGACCAGTCCTTCGTGCCCTTGGGCGTCTTGAGGTTGAAGAAACTCTTGTTATCCTTGGGCATTGTGTCTACCGGGTGCGAAGATCTGATGGTGAGGGAAGAAGAGTGGCGGTAGTGGGGGATGGTGGGGTCGCTGGATGAGAGAGTGAGGGTTGTTGGGCGGACGGCCGCTGCGCTGAGAAGGGCCCGACGGACAGGTACAACGACAATGGGATCAACAATTGCTTGTCGTGCGGAGCGCAAAAAGCCGGATTGAAAGGTGGGCTTCATCCAAGGGATTGGAATGGTGAAGCAGAGCCGGCTGGTAGACAATAAATCGATGAGTCTCTATATATCTCTGGCCAATCTGATGATCAGGTGTTGCTTCTGACTCAGTTCCTCCTTGCTTTTTCTGAAGAGTTGCTTGAAAGAGCAAGTTTCTCCGTGTCCGATTCTCAAACAGGGATTCAGGGCTTCCGCTTAGGGCAAGTCACGTGTGGATCTTTCACTCTCCGATTTGTCTCTGTAGACTATCTACTGGTGATGGGGACACTGTGCTCTATTATCGTTCTATGAAGAGCTTATTCAGGACAAGATGAGTGACGA